TGTGATAACAACAAATATGAAGTGCCCAGAGTTAGGCCGCAAATACCTAATGTTGTTTTTTTAATAGACAAGTGGACGATCTTATACATTTTGTTACAAATAAAAAAAAACCGAGCCATATAGTAACTCAGTAACTAAAATCACAGCTAAAATAATTTCATATCACAAGGACGTTACTGGTACCGTACCAGTTAGTTAGTTCTCGGTAGATACGCTTTGCATCAGCTCTACTGAATAGACGCCCAAATGTATTCTACAGACTAATAATGTTTATCATTGTTTGCTAACCATGTTTTGTATATTCTAATGGCGTTAGCCCATTACGCCGTATCGGGTGCCCATGTTTATTTTCGTTTTAAATGCTGTGGTCGTCCATAATGCTGGAGATTATAAAAGTAGTTCACTTGTAGTAATTAACAATAGATTTATACTTGATATTTTCCTCATGATTCATATTGTAACCACAATACAGTCAGTTCGGGATGTGTGGTGGCCGTTTTGTATCGTGTTACTGTGTTAATTTATTTATGAGTGTATTGTGTTTCTTATGATTTTAAATACTCTAGATATATTCGATGTGACAATGTTGAAATATTTAGTGAGTTCGAGGGGTAACCGAATAGGTCCTCTGGTAAACGACAAGAGTAATGTACGTATGTCTAGCGTTTACATCGATGTTTGTCTCGATATTATTTTATCCAAATATTTCCCTAACAAAATTGATATTGTGTTTGCCACTTATTTTGCTGTATGAGCATTCAAAAACATTGTAACATTATTATTTAGTTGTTATTGCCGTGCATGTTATTTTTTTTAGAATAATACACACATTCCTAACTAGTATTTTTGTATCTATAAATATTGCCACATGAATTTTGATGATTCTTTTTTAACCTAAGTATTTTCATACATATACATGATATATGATCAGTAATTATTGGTTATGAACAATTAACTTTATTTTTGCATATTATCTAAAATAATAACATTTTGCAACGTCTTCTCGAGAATTATCTACTTGATTTATTTACGTGCAGATAATGTAATGGTAATTAATGTAACTTATTATGAAGCTATTGAACATTACTTGCAATAATGAAGTACAAATATTACATTCATATAATTAAAATAAGTGTAAATTCTAATTAAACCCAGCTGCGCTACGCTATGACTGAGTTTGAATTCAATTATTAATTTTCCTTTCCCGTGGGCACTACGGAATAAAAGAATTTAAATTACTTCTATAGAAAAGCAATGTCGTGGAAAAAAATCGATTCGTCCATCGACTGCTTTACGAGTTGTACGGAATATGAACATAAAACAGTTGCATTTAGATTTATATGTAATAATACAATTTTAAATATACCAGAAGATAATATACCCACGTGGTAGTTTATTATGTTAAATTTACACAAGAGGCCGTGAGTTCAAATATGGCCGGAACTAAAAATAAACAATAATTTTATATTTCAAAATACATATATTTCTGACTGACTCTCCGGTGTTTCAAACCTATGACAATTCACACAGCGCCATCTAGTCCCAAGTTAAGCTAAAAGCTTGCGTTACGGGTACTGATATTAATACAGAGATACTAGTAGTATATTAGGCAAAGTTTTACGTTTTCTATTATGGCAATGAGTTCACACTTCATTTATTTTTCAAGTTTTCAAAAGTTTCAAATCTGTGGATATCAATACCAGGGTATAATCCTCTGAAAGTACTACCTAATATTACAATTTTTATTGCTTGTAACACTACAGTAAGTTCTTTGAATACATTATTTCCTTCTCGGAAATATCTCTATAGGTAAAACGTATCCATATAAATACATATACATATATATATTTAATGTACCTACTAATTTTTATTGAAACAAATATATTTTGTGAAATCTTTTTCATTTATTATTTCTTTAGAATTCTAATGTTAAAATTCGTGTGAGAATTTTTTCGGTTGGTTCGAAATGCATATTATATTTACTTATGCATTTGCTTTTCCCGTCTTGGAGTTAATAGAAATAGAAATATTTTCTTTTAAGTAAAGTTAATAAAAAAACTTTTTTCATTCATACTTCAACCAAGAACATTTTTCATGAAACTTGCCTGTTCCTTTTAGACGAACGTTGTTCAACTTTGCATTTCTAAGATTGCAAACTATTAAACAGCATGTATTTATATGAGTAAATATAAACTTACTTGATTAAAATAAGAAATGAAACTTCGTGTGTATGAATTCCTTACTTATATAATTTTATTAAAAGTGATCTAAAAAATTGAAAACATATTACGAAACCAAACCTGGGTAAATTGATATTTGATTCTATTATAAAATTATGTGTACTGTTGCCGTAACTAATGAATTTACTACGTACTACATTAATATAATAATCTAAACAGCTACTATGTGATAAAACTTTTTGTGTTCTACGATATCTACAAAATTATATAAAGTCTTATTCTACACACTTTTCGTCGGACTGTTTGTTCCTTAAATATAATATAATCTATGTAGGCTCCGAGGAAAATATTAATATCTTCAATATACACACATGGCTTAAGAAGTTAGTTTAGTGTAATACGGTCTAGCAATAAGAGTGGCTGCACTGAGCGGTGAGTGTCTACTGTATTCACAGCGCTTCAATTATTTGTATATCTTTTTTAATTGTGTACAGCTTTTAGAATCATTTAATATTTTCTACATTAATTAGTTATATATTGAAGTAAGAACCTTACAACATAGTTTATAAATTATATAGAGAAATCTTTTAAAATAGCGAACTTAACATTATTTACCTTGCTGTCTTTGAACGTTTCATAAAACTCAACGTCCGTAATTCGATCTGATACTTTTTCTTGTAAATAATATTATTTGCCGCAACAATAATAATAAGCTCAGAGCAATGATTAATGTAATAAAACCGTAGAAAGGAAGATGCTATAAATTGAATATTTTATCAAACGATTTTTTATACTAAATTTTCCTTTTCCTCTTTATTTTAGTAACAAATAAATTGACCCGGTTTATGTATAAAATTAGTGACTCGTGTTGACTTGGCCCGTGTTGGATTGTACATAAAATGTTAATGTATAATAATATGATCACGTATTGTACAAACAAACCTGTAAAAGGATATCTCAATGACAGTGGAACGCGTATCGTGGTTTACAAGCAACCCGAGAAACAGTCCCAGACAGTGACAGTAATAATATTATTTAGTCGACTGTATTATTTTATTATAATATGGAGATGTTTAAAAAAGACTTTTATTTTATGTAGTATCTGGAATGGCAACACAGTAATTCGTCTGATGGAAAAGTCTTCATCTGAAAGATAAATTCTCTATTCTATAAGAACGACACTAGAGAAAACTGTATTGTACTGTAATGGCACCAGCAACATCTCATTGTCACCTGCGTGCTAAGGTGTAATACTTCTAACTTAACTTAACGATTCCCCTTTAAATAAGAAGACTTTTGGAAGCAATTCGTTTGCCGTCAGAAATAGATTGCTATCTTCACAAATATTTTCATGGTATTAGGTATACACCGAAATTAACCGTTAGTTACCCATTAGTCCATTGTTATTTATGCATCGAGATATGTTTAACATCACTGGAAAATAGTCATAAATTTAAAACAGCATACATTTTTTTGTTATAGACCATATTGAAGCCACGAATACAATCTGGCGCGTTCGGATAATAAATCTCTTGGCTATTCTGCGCTCAATACTACCAAATATTGTTAATATCGAGTCTCTTAGGAAGAGTATGTGGTTAAAATATTAATATTTTTTTCTGTTACCCGTTTTAGGGAGACCAAAGTAGTTGAAAGGAAGAAGGCCTTTAGATTTCATATAAAACTTTATCAATTTCAACCGTCAAGCTGTATTATTAGACATATTAGTTTAACAAGTGTAAATGAGTTTCATTCATTCATTCATAATTTAAGAGCTACGCTCTTGTCGGTGGAGCTCTTGCCACTTTCCGCGATCCTCCATCATGCTCTTTAATTCTTGATACGACACGACTCCCATTTTGTCCTCAATTTGTTTGATGTAGCTATTCCTTGGTCTTCCCCTCCCCCTCTTTCCTTCTATTTTCCCCTCAATAATAATTTTCATGAAATCATCGTGCCGTATCAAGTGCCCTAACATTTTTCCTCGTCTATTTTCTATGGTGTTCAATATTTGTCTTTTTTCTTTTACCCTGTGTAGTGTAAATGAGTAATTTTGCAAAATTTCTCCAGTTCCTATGTACTGTTATACGTTAGATAGCTTTACTTAATTTGTCGTTGTGCTGCTTAATAATAAAAATCTACATTATCTTGTAGAGGGTGTACGTAAATATATTATAGTGTTCAGTTGTTTTCAACATACAGACGGATAGAGATAGATACCGCGAATACCTCAATTTATATGAAAATTAAGCAAGTTGCTTACTTGCTTTGATATTGCTGAAACTAATTCTAGATACCTTGTACTAAACTACCGTCTGTAATGATGTTTAATTTGTATGTTGTAATTCAGAACTGAGCACTAACAGTTAATCAGTCGCTACGATGCTCAATCTAAGATCAAAATTGTATCGCAGTATACATGCAGTTGCTAAATTTATATTATTTAATATATAACTATGCGGGGAAGCTACCGTGTTTAGAGTAAGTTACCGGTGAACAACATGCGCTTGTCTGTTAGCAGTACTATTTATATAAATAAATAACAGCACAAGCTAGTCTAAACGAAACTAAACTGTATGTTACTAAATCGCTGATAAAATGTAATAATTAATATTGCTTTTTTTTTAAATAAGGATAGACTACATAAAAAAAACGACAAAATGGGCAAGATATGTTTGTGTCGTGTGTGAAAATTATCATCGGAACTTCGACTGTCGGAAGGTACAGCAGTGTGTTAGACTGCTAGACCACCAAGGTCATGAAGTAATGTGATTGAAGATAGCTGTTAAATGCCACCTGTCAAGTAATTTTTTTGTGCAGGACGGTCTGGAAGTCATGTTGTCGGTGCCGAAGAAGGCCAACGATGCCATGCATCTCTCACTCCTCGAGGGATGTGATGTCCCGACCGACAGCCTCGGCGAGGTGGTGTTGCAAGACTCGTTCCACGTTTGGGACCTACGGCAGATAATCAAGAAAGGTCGTGAAAGAAGAGTCTTCCTCTTCGACCTGCACCTTCTGTTAGCTAAAGAAGTGAAAGATTCCCATGGCAAGGCGAAGTATATTTATAAGACCAAATTCATGGTGAGTGTTACAATATGAACAAGACATAAACTTGTTTGGTTTTCATTAATTACGTCGAAATATTTTTTGAATTATAAACATAAATCATTTTTCTGTTTACGTTTCATATTTCTTACGAACTAAATGAACATAAATACTGAAAGTACCTACTTTAGTTAATACTGAAAACGAAGACTAATATATTATTTCTATTTACATGATGTTACAAAAACTATTCACCGATTGGAAACTCTGTATCGAACCAAATTGCTTCGAAAACCTGTAATACTGTTTTTGACAGTATTCACAACTTTTCTCAGTAACAATTCAATCTAAAATTTCAAGTTGAAATTCAGCCGGAGGCCAGTGTCGCTTTTCTGTTAACCTCAACGAATGTCAGACATATATATGTAGTCGAGTGTTTTGTTTCTGTAGTTTTTTATTGCAAAAGCATTTCATTTTTTTTTAATATAGTATTTGTTTTTATAATTTGTCTCTGGGCTGTAATACTAAGACGACGTAAATATTTGTGTATAGACATCAGAGCTGGGTGTCACCGAGCATATCGAGGCTGACGAATGCAAGTTCTCGGTATGGACAGGCCGCGAGCCGATGGCCAGTGACTGCCGTATAGTGCTGAAGGCACCTTCACTGGAAGTTAAGCAGACTTGGGTTAGACGCCTTCGTGAAGTTATACAGGTTAGTAATATCTTGTGACATTTTAAACGACAGTGAAAGTCCAAATTTCCAAGTTACAAAGTATATCCTGGCACTTCTATTTGAAATTCGTTTACAAGGTTCAACAATATATTCAATTATAAACTTAACTGACTAAGCTGCCAGGGATACTTCTATTAAAATTGCTATTATGTACGATTACAATAATGGTTATGGGCGTAACCAGGTTCTGACCCAGGGGACCCTCAGGGGGAAGTCGGCGGAAAGTCAGTTTTTGCTATCCCCCTTCTCCATGGTACTAGTTATATCGTTTATTCGAATATTAATTGAAATATCCACTTACATTTCAGGCTCTATAGACATTGTAACATTCAAATGCTGTTATAAAAATGTCATAATTAATTGAATAAGAACAAAGAAAGTTGGCATATTTTAAAAGGTATTCCTTTGTTAACGCTTTCAGTGTTCCCACTTTACTTTTACTAACTCTTTGTTGGTCGTTTTATATAGCGTCTATACTGGTGTAATATCGCCTTTGATCGCCTCGGAAACTAACCCGAAAGTTGACTAGCATAAAATGCCTCGCAGTCATTAAGTTTTCCTTGTACCTACTTGTGTTAATAGTAACTTGAACACGGTAGCCGTTCACGTTATTTTGTTTCGCAATTATGTGTTGGCAGCCCTCTAATAGGAGTCTATCCTCCCGTTCCAGCCGAACATTTTATATACTGCCACAAACGAACGGGCCGGCGGCCCCCTGGTGGGAGTTATAAAAAACCCTATAGTTTCATAGCACAGGCATTACAATATGCACTATTATTTATTCAGTTCTGTTCGATATATTTGAATATCTGAAGTGATTTGTAATATTATTTTTAATTGAAAGGTTGATTATAATTAAATCCTTACTTGTTTGTAGAAGTCAAATTTATCACTGTAATATGTTGTTGTACTCACAATAATATCTTATATATAAAATTCTCGTGTCACAGTTTTCGTTCCCATACTCCTCCGAAACAGCTTGACCGATTCTCATGAAATTTTGTGAGCGTATTGAGTAGGTCTGAGAATTGGCCAACATCTATTTTTCATCCCCCTAAATGTTAGGGGTAGTCCACCCCTAAATTTTTATTTTTATTTTAAGGCAAAACAACGTTTTCCGGGACAGCTAGTATATATATATTATTATTGTATAATGAAAAGTATGTCTTAAGAACAAAAAAGGTTTTAAATTAGACCTAAAGAACACTTACAAGCTTTATTGCAGCCAATTTTAATTATGAATAACAACATTTAGTTATAAACATAGACTAAACATTTTCCATGACTTGTAAATCATACACTGTAGAATTATTACTCTGTACCATAAAATATAAAATTAAGTAGAAATCTGAAGAAACCGCCTTTAGTCGTTACCGTAGATGTGTACAGAGGAATCCTCTTAACCTAGTCAACCTAGTGAATACAAATGTAAGGCAAGCTGACTAATTAACAACGTTACACAGGAAACGTACTTCAGCGCTGCCCTACAACAGCCTCCGCGTAGCCCCGGCCGCGTTCGGCCTACCAGCTCACAGAGATCTAGCAGGTAAAATTCTTTGTGCATAGCTGTGATGTATTCTAAAAATGTATATTCAGTATGTATTTGTACTTACACACAAATGGTATACTCCGAACTTATATAACATAGTTTAAATAGTAAGTAAATCTGTTATTGTCGTTTAAATCTAATTAATTGTAAATAATATAAAATATACAATAAAATTGTTCTATTGTACATATCTATACCTACATATAAATAAAATTGGAGTGTCTGTTTGTAATATTGAAATAACCGTTTTTTACTACATGCATAAGAATATATTTACGGTACATACACCAAAATAATATATTTTACAATTTTTCTGTCTGTCTGTTTGTTCCGGGTAACCTCTGAAATGTCTGGACCGATTTTGACGGGACTTTTTTTGGCAGGTAACTGACGTAATAAAGAGTACCTAACTTAGGCTACTTTTATTTTAGAAAAATAAAGTTAAATTCCACGCGGACGGATTCGCGGGGTCGGCTAATGTTTTATATAATTAAAAAAAAAAATCGTAACATCTTATAATGGTATTGTAAATATCGTTAGAGTTAAATAAAATTTGTTATGAGTGACAGCATTGTACAAGTTTTTATTTAAATAACAAAATAGATTTAAGGAGAGAGTAAGCTCATATATGACAGACGATAGGAACTAGTGTAAGTAGTGAGTTACTGCGCCGACACCATATAATGGGATAAAGGTACGGCAATGATAAGATATATATATGTGCATACGTCCCTTTTAAGGTCTCAGTTTATATTTCGATTAGAGTACTTTAAGACGAAAGATTTTCTAAATTTATATTAGGTAAAATAATTCTAATTACAAAGGGTCCAGAATGATTAAAATTTTAAATATAATCTTTAATGACGAAGGTATCTAATAAGAACATATTACACGAAGTTCCCGCGGGAGAATACGTATTCGTGTGGTCTAAGCTTTGATAATTAGATAAAAATATATTAATATGTGTTATAATAGGATTTAAATTAGAAATAAACTAAATAGTCAATACCTAGGGACACATTAGCTTTTGTTTTCTATTATCTCATACTTGTCCTGGATTCTAAATGTTGTTACATTGTTGTTATTATACCTATAAATATACTCTTTCAAGAATATACCTAATCTTCGTATTCGTTTGGAATAGAATCCTTATTTTTTTTCTATTTTGCAATATACAATATATACATGATATTGTATATATAACTCACTCGCAATTACAGTATTGTAGGTATATATGAGATCATAATAAATTATGTTTTAGTCATAAAAACAGGGTACAAAATTAAACAGTTGTAATATCTTAGATAGATTATAACTAATACAAAGTATTAGTTATACTTTGTATTAGTTCTAATCTATATAAGATATTTCATTAAAAGTTTCGTAATTTCATAGATTGATTAAGTGAATTCTAGGACTGTATATAATTGTGTAGATATCCTATAATAAGTTTCGCGTACTAATAATAAATTCCTTCGACAGGGACCTTGAAGAGACACTTTTAGATGAAACTACAGAAAATCTAGACAGAAATTCGCTGGCGTCTTTCGGCAGCGGTAATACCACAGATTCCGATAAGGTAAGTCTAGTTTCGTAAGTACAGTATATAAATTTCGTATGAGGGAGCGATCACCGGAGTTCTATTGTCATATATATTACTACTCTAACTATTCTTGTTCTTGTTATATTATATATAATAAAGATACCGAAATTTTCTCCAATAACAGATAATATATTTTAATAATCATAAGAAATTAAATTTTTCTAGTAACAGAAGCAGTTTTTAGTAATATACTTATGTTCAATTTAGTTACTATATTGAGTACAGTACATATATTTCAGGTTCAGTCTTATAGTTTTACACAGAACTAAAATTATGTTATATCATATACACGATAATAACGAAATATCATAAAATGCGTCATATACCAAATCTAAACTGTACTAATCACTTCAATCTAATATAACTATTAAAAATAACGTAGTACGGTGCGACGGTACGATAAGGATAATAACTAAAGTGTTTAGGTAGATCTCAAAAATATAAATCTTCAAATGAACTAAAATGTTCTCTTCAAATTATATTAATTTTTAATTATTATAAACCGTACAAAATATAAGCGTTGCATTAATTTCTCTCAATTAATATTATGTCATAATTTCCTTTTCTAATCTTATATAAATTTATATATTTAAACCTAGCTTGCCTATTGGTCATCGCTGGTTTATTGACGCCAGATGACTACATAGGTCGCTATTGATAATTAACTGATAGTTTATATGTAATCTGAAAATAATTTAATTTCATTTATGCTTTTAGAATGAAATAGAGAAATTGAACATATATAAATAAACAAATAATAATATAGAACTCTGAAGTCAGTAGAATTTGAATATAAAATAGTAGAGCGCGCGTCCGCCGTAAACAGGAAGATTTGAATTTTCCTGGTCTACAGATTTTCCTGGCTATAGCGCTATATGTACGAATTCGACTTCCATTTTGTTACTCGTAGTTTTATGTTCGAGTAGTGTGTATTCTTCTATCTGTAACTTTGTAACGAACTATTTTATTTGTATTTCATAACCTACAATCGATACGAAATGGCACGTACGTGATTTCAAGAGTCTATGCATATATATGCATTTGCGTGCATCTTCTTGTACGCTGATTTCTACTCGCCTTGATATACAAGTAATTGTCCGAGGGAATTACAAGTACTTATTTAAATAGCTTTGCTTGTACTTGGTACTTAAACTTACGAGCGTTTAGACCAAGTGCTGAGTAATACAAATAGATAAACCATCTTGATTACAGGTCTGTTTGCCAACCATAAAATCTAGAGTGTTCCGTTGGTCATGGTGTGACACAATTGACGGGTTAATCTTGCAGATTCGATACATTTGACCTCATTGGATAGAAAATATAGGTTATTAATCTAAGAGTGTTGACCTTACTTACAAATTTAAAGCTTAAATAAATTGCTATTATAAAAGTACGCAAAATAAAAAGAATTAGGATTAACTTAAAAAAATGCCGTTGCGGATAATTCGTTTCTGTTTTATCCGTGTAGTCACACCAATCAAGAGTTTTGCCGGGCCTTCTTTATGTTTTAGGTATGTTTTTGTTTCTAATAAAAATCCAGATGAAAAGTAAATACTTAGACAAAAATTGGGACGGAATTGTAGCAAGCTATTTATAACTCTATAGTAAGATTATATTCAAATTAACAAACAGTTCGCAAATCCGCCTCTGATTTTCGAGAAGCTAGACGGATTAACGCTGTGGATGAGTTTTCGCATTCAACCAGAATGCAACACCAGTTACTCGCACGGAAACGAGAGCTTTTGCGAGCTAATTGACTGGAGCGCTAATTTGATTGGTATCCCAGACTGACATTTTTATTTTTAATTATAAACGTGAAACTGCGGCGATATATGGGGGAGGTGTATGTGCCGACTGATTGATTTAAATGAATGAAATTCAATTGAATTAATCTTGAATGACTGATCCTATTAGAGAGTAATTTAATGTGCAAGTATTTTTGGATACAATTTGCATAGTTTGCTTTTATTTGAAAATAACTAAGGAAATATTTTCTTTTCCGCTAACATTGGAATTCGTTGGGAATAGCTAGTGAAGTAATAGCATACGCTCGGGCGGCATATTTGTCCCCAGGAATGACAATGCACGAGAGGCATCAACTACCAGTATTTTGAAAATGTCCGCAGTGTTGTTCATGCATATATTAGGTTTTAGTTGCCAGTTTATATGTAGTAATAAATGTAATGCAAAAGTAACTTCTCAATTCCACATATTTTATATATGAATACTAAACTACATTAAAAATAGTTTTAAAATAATTACTGCAGAACCAGAGAGCATTTTAGATTTATATTAAGCAAAGTTTGCTGATAGTACGGAAACTAAATTATATACGTAATATAAATAGAACTGTATAAATAATAATTTCAATAATAAATCCAAATGTATATTTAGAGACATAAAATAGAATATCTAAACTTTTAAGACATATATTTTTTTTACGGGTCGACATGTGAGAATTACGGATTTCTCGAAATTTTCTTGGTATGATTAGAATTGGTTCTGCATGAAACAAAGTAGTGTTAAGGATACCAAACAGCTGTATCGTATTACGTGCCCGGGTCTTCGTATGCATGTCATTTTCAATAAACGTACCTAGTTTATTATTGTTTTATTTTAAAGAAATTAAAATTACTATAATACTAAAATTGAAATTACTATATTACTTAAAAACGGATTTTTTAACATAACGTGTACAAATTATTTATATTTGAAAATATTTACATACATTAGCCTTTTATATGTAGATTTCTGTCAAAGTAAATGTAAAATAAACTTGATATAAGTATTCAATTCAGCAATATCACAATACATCACACTTCAAAGAGACGTCGCCTCGCAAAAATGGGAATTTATCGAGACTTTGTGTATTGTTCCGAGGAGACAACTATTACAATGTTACATTTACGATTTCTGAGCGTGTGAAGTTATTGTTATCGGTATTAAGCTCTCGTACATTGTGTTCTTGGAATCCTTCGGAGTTTCCACACGCGTTACTATTCCGATGGTGTATGGCGTTACATTTTTATTAAACATTTATTATGTATACCTTTAAATTTATAAAATAAATAATTCATATATTTTATATAAAATTCTCATGTCACAATGTAGGTACCATACTCTGAAACGGCTTGACCGATTTTTAAGAAAACTTATTTATAAATAAGATTTCTTAAAATAGAAATTATGCGATTCTCAAACCTACTGAATATAGCATATGCAGTAGGTGTGGCATTCTAATATACATACAACCCCAAATTTTCAGCCTTCTCCCATCAACCCCTATATTTTAATAGCAATTTTAATTTATATGACAAAACAACGTTTGCTGGAACAGCTAGTAATGTATAATATACATATGTAGATATGTATATATATTGATTTATTATACTATTATAATATGCTAGACCAGCAGTTACCGGTAGATTCATGAGCTACATTTCTGATGAAAGACGTCTTATATTTAACCGTGTGATACAATCTATTTTCACGTCATATTTCATAGATCCGTTCAGTCGTGACAAACAGGCAGTCAGACAGATTTTCCTATGTACAACATGTTATTAGTATGAATACAAATATTATTTGTTTTCACATATTTTTTTAATTGTTATACTTGCTAGTTTGATCTCCTCTAACTTATATTTTATATATTAAAAATTTTTAATTCATTTTCTTTTAATTGTGGGTTTACTTAATAAAATATACAAGAAATATATTTTTAGTTATATAAAATGAAACAATACGTATCTTACCTATGAAATTATTTCTACCTATATATATGTATTATCAGAATATGTATATGAATATGTTCCTTGTAACTTTATTTTATTTCCAAAATAATTTGACAATCGTAAATTAATGACAATCGTTCGAGGCAGTGGCGTTAGTATTTTATATTATAGAAGAATAAATGGCAATTTTTGTGGATGTAGTTAAAAGGTATTTTAACGGAAGTTCTTTGATGTCTGCTATAGAAATACTGGTAACGAGAGTCAAATGAAAAGCGTTTCTCACCGCTTCATCGAACCTGCTTTTTTTCACCTGGCAATGTAGGAATTCTAAAGAACGTCGAACCAGTAAGAACATAGGTTTTATGTTTTCTTTTTACAACGACGACGGTAAAAGAAATAAGCTTGATATTTAACAAATTGAATACCGCAGTTACAAATCTTAGACAAAGATTCTGTGTACGTTTAAATTAATTGCTTTTTGATTACTTTTTGAAGTAAATTTATAATAATCATTACTATAGATCGCTCTGTACATACCACACGCATTGTCACAAACTAAGTTTATTTTATAACTATTGAACAAGCGACAGAATTAATTTTAATAAAATCAAACACAATGTTAAAACGTACCAAGCGAGAATTGAAGTTGCTTGTTAGTTGATAAAAATGATGACACGATGTAATATGCAATCTGTCGGTTCGACACGTCGTGTCCCGGTACATCGACTTATCGATTCAGTTCCGAATTGTATCATCCGTAGATGTGGGTTTATACTTTATCACTATTTATTATATTCCTAGTGATAAATAACGAATTTTAATTTAGACTTTATATTCATACAATAATTTAGACGGTATCAGTGGTCTAGCGGTTTAGCACACCGCCTTACTTCCGATGGTCGCGGGTTCGATTCTTCGCACGGCACAAACTTTTTGTATTCATTCCTGGGTCTAGAATATGCAGTGTGAATGGTCTTGAGATTATTATTATTATTATATTATAAATATGAAGGTGTGTCTGTCTGTCTAATTGTTGTCTTTTCATAACTAAACGGAAAGAAATGAAGATATACTGTGTCAGGGATACAGACATAGGCTATATTTTATCTCCAATAACCAGGCTAAATCGTCGGCAAAATTTGTAACAAAAACAATTTTCTGTTCGAGCAATCCGATGAATGCATTCGTTATAACTAACAAACATCGGTTATTTGATTGCATTATGTATATGTGCTGCAGTTC